TGGAGCTGCTCACCGAGGCGCGGAGTCGGCGATGGGATGAGCCGGGGGGGCGCGGCGGGGCAGCGGCGGTGGCAGCTGGAAGTCCGCGCGGAGCGAAGTTCCGTGCAGATGTGCGCGCGGCCCGGGGGCGGCTGGGCAGAGCGGGCAACATCTGCGCCGCCGCCGCCTGGCTCTCCCTAAGGAGGGGGCTCGGACCTCCACGGAGCTGTGCGTGTGTGCATGTGTCTATCTATAGCTGTATACGTAGCCCTCGGGCTTGTGTGGATGGGCAGCCCCTTCCCTTCCTGAGTCCCCTGAAGTTGTGAGCGGGCAGCACTGCAAAGAGGAAGGCAAAGGGCAGCCGTGACAGCCGCCGGCCTCATTGGCTCCCCAGGGAGGCAGCGGTGCTGAACAGCTGGAAACCGGAGCAGTCCACGCGGAGAAGTGGCCGGGACGGAGCTGCCCGCCTGCCCCGCGGCCAGCTGTTTCCTCTCCAAGAGGGGTTGGGGTTTTTTTGGTTGTTTTCTCTGCGCTTCTCACTCCTTGTTAAGGTAAGAGGCTGGCTTTGAACTTGGGGGCGCATCGGGAGCTTGTGGGGGGTGGGGGGAAGAGGAAGCTGTTTGGCTAAGCGGGGAGACGAGCCAGATGCGCCCAGATGTTGAGTTTAGCCAGTGTGCAGTTGTTGGCAAAAAGCAAACTTGTTTCGAGCTGTCCTGCCAGGCAAAACTGGGCACTAATTGGCTCTTGGCGCCCCCTGGTGGCTGCAGGCGAGGAAGCAACGTCCTCCAGGAAAGGGAGACTAGGGCAGGCACAAAGCACACTTAGATAAATATTTTTTTTTCCCGCAGCACACCTGTTAAGGCATTCCCCATCCTCATACCTGTTGTAGCCCTTTTAGCTCATTGCCATGGCAAAATTCTGCGGCACACCTGTTCGTTTCTGACCTCACACTTTTGTGCCGCAGCATGCTGGTTGGGAAACACTGCTGTAGGGCACCAAACCTGTAAAAAATGAATGGATGTGCATACTGTCCCTCCCTGCAGTGAAGGAAGAAAGCCTTAGGGAGACTAAGTTTCATGCTTATAAGAAGGGCTCATGGACCTGTGAGATGTAGGATCGATAGAAAAGAACGTTTCCAAGTATCTAGGTCAGATTTTATACAACTAGTTTTTAACTTCTCCTTTCAGTGAGGGGCTCAACCAGACACATTCTGGAGCTTAGCTCGGAGGGCAGTACTACTGACTGGGGAGCGTGATTTATGAGGAGGGGCTGAGGGAACCGGGATGATTTAGTCTGGAGAAGGCAGGGGGGTTTAATAACAGCTTTCAACTACTTGAAGTGATGGAGCTAGACTGTTCTCAGTGGTGAAAGATGACAGAACAAGGAGCGATGGTCTCAAGTTGCAGCAAGGGAAGTTTAGGTTAGATATTAGGAAAAAAACTTTCTCACTAGGAGGGCAGTAAAACACTGGAACAGGTTACCCAGAGAGGTGGTGCAATCTCCATCCTTGGAGGGTTTTAAGCCCTGGGTAGACAAAGCCTTGGCTGGGATAATGTAGTTGGCGATGGTCCTGCTTTGAGCAGGGGGTTGGAGTAGATGACCTCCTGAGATCCCTTCCAACCCTAAATTTCTATCATTCTGTGATTTTTAAAGGAAGTCTTACAAATGTGTCTGCTTTGCTGTAGCAGGCTAAGTTAATTAGATAATCAAATACTCTGTGAGACCTTGCAATTTAAGACAGCTATGAGGGGAAAAGAGAAGAAAAGCGACATAAACTCAAGTTACCTTACAGTTGGTTCCACTCTTATTCTGAAGCTAATTTTGTGAGCAAGCTTTGGCATGCCTTCTCTTTTGTGATTTCTGTAAAATAGCATAGTACTTAACTGTGTGTTTGAATAGGATGTAATTCCTTGTGATTTTATTTTCAGTATTTTTAGACTATGTCAAAAGTTTGATACAGCCTCAGAAAACATTTTTTCTTTGTGTTTCCACAGAAGTGATCAACATGCAAAGTGAACTGAAAACTGAAACTGCTCTCTGGGTGCATACACTTTGGTTTTGTGCCCCTTTCAAGTGTTTTACTTCATGATGGGGAGAAAAGAATTATCTGAAACACTGAGACAGAGGTTGGGTTACATTGGTTGAAGATGTGATGAAGATAGTAAAAGAAGACACGAAATAATTTTCTTTTTTGGTCGGGTATTAATTTAAAAAAAAATCACAAACAGAAGTGAATAGTAGTTAATAAATTGTTCTGCTTGCTAGGAAAGAGAGAGAAAGAGAGGCTAACGGAGGATTTTTGCTGATCTTCCCCCATTCTCATCTATCCCAAAGAAAAAAATGAAGATAAAACTTTGTTTGCAACTCGAGAGAACAGGCAGACTGGGAAGAGTAACTTCAGTATCTGGGTATATTATACAAAGCACTGTACATTTCCAGATTCAGCAAACATAAACCATTAGTTTGAATAAAAATTATGATTTCATCATCAGTCCAAGTTTTTGCCTACTCTAGGAATGACATTTAACCTGAATGTTAGAGAGAGAGATTTTTTCATTAAATGTGTGATTTCAATTATTATTTTAAAGTCAAGGATTTTTTCCCAGTGTTTTTCAGCTAGAAAGACATTAAGTTTTTTGGTCCCTTGAATATATATATTTGGCCTATGTTTTACATGGAATTTTTAGTGTTTTTAGAACTTCTGTGTTGTTCTCTGCCATTGTAGTTGTGCAGAATAGAGACAGACAAGGCATCTAGGATTCAACTTTTCTACTACTGCTAGTGTTTTCAGAAGAGCTTGAGCATCCACTGAATTCTATGGCATGATTTGGTCTTCTCTTTTGTTTAAAGGAAAAACATGCCTTAAAACGTTCATTTTATACTAACCTAGTCAACCTTTAATATCTGAGCATAGTGTTTTGTAAAGAGATGCATGCCTGAAAAGAGAGAACTGCCTAATGGATCATGGCTTTGGTGTTTACAGGACATATCTTATTTCTAGCATTAGTGTTGTTTGCTGTCTCCACTTTTGAAGAATCTGTAAGCAATTTCTCTGACTGGGTGACTTTCACAGAAAATATGGATCAATATGAGAAGCAAAAACTGCATGGTTTCAGTGCCAGCCAGAAGCTGAGAAAACCTGTTCTACATCCAAGCCTGTATTTTGATGCTGAAGATGTACCAGCACTAAGGCAGAAGTCCCGCACAAGTCATTTGCATTTGTTTAGAGCGATTAGAAGTGCAGTGACAGTTATGCTATCCAATCCATCATACTACCTACCTCCACCCAAACATGCTGATTTTGCTGCAAAGTGGAATGAGATTTATGGCAACAATCTGCCTCCCTTAGCATTTTACTGTTTGCTGTGCCCAGAAGATAAGGCTGCGTTTGATTTCACTCTAGAGTATATGGATAGAATGGCTGGCTACAAAGACTGGCTCGTTGAGAATGCTCCAGGAGATGAAGTGCCACTTGGCCACTCCTTAACAGGTTTTGCCACTGCTTTTGACTTTCTATATAACTCCCTGGGTAATGTTAGAAGACAAAAATACCTAGAGAAGATATGGTCCGTGAGTGAGGAAATGTATGATTATTCAAAGGTCCATTCTTGGGGGAAGCAACTTCTCCATAACCACCAAGCTACTAATATGCTAGCATTACTCACAGGGGCCCTGGTTACTGGGGTTGGCAAAGAATCTCAAGCAAATATTTGGAAACATACTGTGGTTGATGTGATGGAGAAAACTATGTTTCTACTCAATCATATTGTAGATGGCTCTTTGGATGAAGGAGTAGCTTATGGTAGTTATACAGCCAAGTCAATAACCCAATATGTTTTCCTGGCTCAGCGCCATTTTGGTATGAATAACCTAGAGAACAACTGGCTGAAAATGCACTTTTGGTTTTATTATGCCACCCTGCTGCCAGGCTTTCAGAGGACTGTGGGTATAGCAGATTCTAATTATAACTGGTTTTATGGCCCTGAAAGCCAACTGGTTTTCTTGGATAAGTTTGTAATGAAGAATGGAGCTGGCAACTGGCTAGCACAGCAGATTAGGAAGCATAGGCCCAAGGATGGCCCAATGGTGCCATCTACTGCACAAAGATGGAGCACTCTTCACACTGAATACATATGGTATGCTGCAGAACTAACACCTCAGCCACCTCCTGGCTATGGCACTGCTAAGATGCATATGTTTCCTAACTGGGGAGTTGTTACTTATGGGGCTGGGCTACCAAACACTCAGACCAACACCTTTGTGTCTTTTAAATCTGGAAAGCTTGGTGGCCGTGCAGTCTATGACATTGTTCATTTTCAACCGTATTCCTGGATTGATGGGTGGAGAAGTTTCAATCCAGGGCATGAACATCCAGATCAGAACTCCTTTACTTTTGCTCCTAATGGACAGGTATTTGTATCAGAGGCTCTCTATGGACCTAAGTTCAGTCATTTGAATAATGTGCTGGTGTTTGCCCCATCACCAACAAGCCAGTGCAATCAACCTTGGGAGGGACAACTCGGTGAGTGTGGACAATGGCTTAAATGGACTGGTGATGAGGTTGGAGATGCAAGTGGGGAGATTATCACAGCATCCCAGTATGGAGAAATGATGTTTGTGAGTGGTGAGGCAGTATCTGCCTACACTTCTGAAATGAAACTGAGAAGTGTATATCGCGCTCTTCTACTTTTAAATACTCAGACATTGCTAGTAGTAGACCATATTGAAAGGGAGGAAGACTCTCCCATCAGCTCTGTCAGTGCCTTCTTTCATAATCTTGATATTGATTTTAAATATATACCTTACAAGTTTAAGAACAAATATAATGGAGCTATGATGGATGTGTGGGATGCTCATTATAAAATGTTTTGGCTTGACCATCATGGCAGTAGCCCTGTTGCAAGGATACAAGAGGCAGAGCAAGCAGCCGAGTTCAAGAAGCGATGGACTCAGTTCGTAAATGTTACCTTTTCTATAAAAAACACTGTAAAAAGGATTGCTTACCTGTTCTATGGACCTTATGTCAATGTTTCTAATTGCAGGTTTATTGATGATTCTAAATCTGGATTTCAGATTTCTCTGGATGTCAACAACACTGAGAATATCGTTTCTGTTGTGACTGACTATCAGAATCTGAGGACGAGGTTCAATTATTTGGGATTTGGTGGCTTTGCCAAGGTGGCTGATGAAAGCAAAGTTATCAAATTTGGTCTAGGCACTGAAGCTATTGAGAAGCATATAACAAGTGACAGGACAGTTTTCCCATTTGGATTCAAAGTGAATATGATAGCAGGGTTAATTTTGGGTATTAGTTTGGTAATACTGGCTTTCCAGTGGCGGTTTTATATTTCCTTCAGCAAAATGTTGCGTTGGATCCTGTTACTGGTTATCATCCTGTGGCTTATTGAACTGGTAGATGTGTGGAGCACTTGCACTCAGCCTATCTGTGCAAAATGGAATAGTGACACGACAAGTGTGGAACCTGATACCACCCATAGAGCCAAACAGTCAGAACAAAACCCTGTTGTTTTGCCAGACGTTGTAATTACTTCACTTCCGGGTTCTGGAGCAGAAATTTTAAAGCAACTCTTTTTCAACAGCAGTGATTTCATATACATCAGGATTCCCACAGGATACCTTGATGTCCCAGAAACTGAATTTGAAATTGACTCATTTGTTGACGCATGTGAATGGAAGGCATCTGATGTCCAACATGGCCACTTCCGTCTCCTGCGAGGCTGGCTCCAGTCTCTAGTTCAAGACACCAGGCTACATTTACAAAATATTCATTTATATGAAGCCAGCAGAACTAAAGTAGCTCAGCATTCTACCATAAGCAAAGACAGAAAGAGAAGATCTAGAAAGAGAGAATCTTTGTCAGAACAAAAAAGCAAAATGAGAGGAAACATGGATAAAGATGCTGAATACATCAGGGAACTGAGGCGACACCTTGTCTATTATCCAAATGCACGTCCTGTACTTAGCTTCAACAGTGGGAGCTGGACATTAAAGCTTCCTTTCTTTCAAGAAATAATAGGGCCTTCAATGAGGGCCTTGTATGTAGTAAGGGACCCTCGGGCATGGATCTACTCAATGTTGTACAACAGTAAGCCAAGCCTCTACTCCTTGAAAAATATTCCCCAGCACTTAGCCAAGCTGTTTAAAGTAGAAAATGGTAAAGGAAAGTGCAGTTTAAATTCAGGCTACACCTTTGAATATGAATCACTGAGGGAAGAACTCTCAGCCTCTAATTCAAATCCAGTTTCTGTGCTGTCTCATTTGTGGATAGCAAACACAGCAGCAGCACTGAGAGTAAATGGAGATTTGCTGCCAACAAATTATCAGCTGGTCAAGTTTGAAGATATTGTGAATTCTCCCCAGCAGACAGCTGAAACAATTTTTGCTTTTCTTGGTATTCCTCTCTCTCCTGCTAGCTTAAACCAAATATTGTTTGCCACCTCTACCAATCTCTTCTACCTTCCTTATGAAGGAGAAATATCACCAATTAGTATCCATGCTTGGAAACAAAACATGCCTACTGAAGAAATTAGACTGATTGAGGACATCTGTTGTTCCCTAATGGACCACTTAGGATACCCAAAGTTTACAGATTAAATGCTGCAGGCCAGCAGTAATTTGCACTAATGATCCCCAACTCACCAGTTTGTGAATAAGATTAGAGAAGTTTGTTTATTCTTGTAAAATGTGTGTACAGTCTGTTACATGCAGAGAGAGATTATTTTAAAAAAATAGATACTTGTTCTCGCAGGATTTTTTTTTAAACTTGTAACTACTTTTGCTGCCTTTCAAATAAAGCTGTGTGAACCTTAATAAAATTACTAGCTGGGAATGGTATAGCTCAGGGGGTTGGTAATAGGATATGGAACCTTTCACTTCCAGGCTACCAATAGCAACCTTGGGTCAGGTTTGATGATATATTCTGGCTGAATTTCACTCCTTCAGTGGTGCAAACTAACCATAAACTTGGTTAGACTAAGTTTATGGCTGTCCTGCATCACTTCCATTGCAGAAAGGAGTCAGCATTCCAGTGAAACTAGTTCCTAATCCCCTTATTTGCAAGATTATGTGACAATGAGTTCTTTGTTATAGCTATTCTTTGGAGAAAGAGAAGACTTCTTTGGAGAAAGAGAAGGCCTATCTATTTGGCACTATTTCACACTATTTGTGAACAGAAAATAAACACTGGGTAAAAAATAAAGACCCCCCTAAAAAAAAAAGAAAAAAACCCGAAACAAAAAAGGAATCCTACAAAACCCCATAAATCTATGAGTAAATTTTCAACTGAGAAGCTTCTAAAGGATTTTATCCAACTCTGGTGCAGTTCTAGCCTGATAAATTCTAAATGGATTTGAAAGCTTCTAATATCTGCACTGCTGCTGCTGCTGCTGCTGCTTTATCCAGCTTCTTAGCTAAGAGAAGCTTCAAGAACGTCTGTTTTTTCTTCCAAAACTCATCCATTCTTCATAGTTGTTTGCACTCTTGAGCGTCTTCTCTGTTGCTGATCCTTGGGCGTAAAGTCTCAATTTCCTAATGCCAGTAACAAAAGTGTGTGCGCCCCACTGAGTGGAAATAGTGAATATAATCATCAATGGTACATGTTACTATGGGTGTATCTACATGTGTGCTTTACTGTTAATTAGCTCCACAGTAAAATGTTCTCATCTACACATGTGCCAGTATTAGCGTGCACTAAATAAATTAACTCCATCATAAGATAGTACTGTTGGGGACAGTACTATTTTACAGCAGAGTACTTAACTAGGCTGAAACGCGCGTTTAGACAGTGACAGGGGTTGACTGGGGCACAACGTTGCTAAAGTGCAGGGGGTGCCTCACAACTAGCCTCATGGCTCTGCAGGTTCTGCACCCTTGTGCCACAACTAACCCCTCCACTGCCTCGTGCTGCCACCCAGACCCTGGGGCTGACCCCCTGAGCCTGCTGCCGACCCAGGCTCAAACTGCAGCACCCACGAGCAGCTGACTCCAGCTCAAAACAGCTTGGAGTTTATTGCAACACATTAATTGAATGTGTAGATGCATCCAGTTTGCATAAGTTGGGAGCCTAGATTTTAGAAGAGTCCTAATAAACCTCTAGATCAGGGGTCAGCAGCCTATAGCCGCAGACTGAATCCAATCTGACAGGTGACTTTATCTTGCCTGCTGAGCATGTTTATGTGAGAAGGCACCATCAAATGGCCACCTATTGCCTGAGGAAGACTGAGCCTAATTCACCCTGCTGTTACTGAAAGTTTGCCACCTCCTGCTCTACATCTATTTTACTGAGGGATGTGTAATTTTTCTGTAGAGTATATGAGCAACAGCCTGTGGCTGATCTCAGCTACTCTTTGTTTAAAGCCTTCATTCTTCAAAGAGACTTTTTCTACATTCTTGGAATCGCACTTACCCTGTACTATGATGTTTTATCTCAGTAATTTATTTCCAGTATCTGATTATTTTTAAAATAGGATTTTTTTTTTCTTTAAATGTGTATTACTATGGAAGATTGCTTTAGAAACAAATACCCTTTGTAAGGTGAATGTTTGCTTTTGTAACGCCTTTGTCATGCTGCTTTTTTCTCATGCTGCTCTTTTAAAATTTTATTTTACCTTGAACCACTTATTTCTTTTTCTTTTTTTTTTTTTAATTTGGTTTATGAACATTGAAAATCTCCTCCTTTATCTTCCTTCAGCATTCTTTCAAAATCCATCCATACTGTAAATTTCTGCAGATGTGTAAATCAAACCATAACTGATGTCAGAGACATCTGTTTCATTTACCATCTGTTTTTTATTACAAATGAAGTTGTCATGAAATATGCTTCATTTTGTTTGTAGGAGCTGGAATCTGAGTTTTGTGCTATCACATTGAAATATGCCAGTAAAGTAATTACCATTTATTTGGGTGATAAGCATTAGGCAATGCCAAGATGTAGTGAGCTTTTCTCTACATATCTCAATCTTGTCACTGATATTTAATACTATGGCTTTCACCTTTGTCTTTCCCCCAGAAAATTCTACATCCTTTGCAATATTTTTGATCTGTCTCCCTAACCTGGATGAAAGTAGAGGGTTTTTTTGTTTTTGTTTTTTTCTCAGCCATTCATTATCATATCAAAATGTGCCTCTAGCATGATAAAGCTGTTGATAATGTTACGGTAACTGTAACTTTACTGTCACTCTCCTTTGCTTGTAACAGGGACTGGCAGCAGATTCCCCATCATCCCGTCTTTTCCAGGTCTTACCTCTGGCTAGGTAGAATGTCACATAAAAATAAATATTAAAATGAGTTAATATACAGTGGCATTTCAGTGAAACTTTGGATCCTAACTATCATTCTCTCAAGCCAGTTTCTCTCTAGGCTGTTATCAGTCATATGTAAAATAGTTACACTGATCCTTCTGCTGTTTCCTTTATTTGACAGACTAAGTCTCAGCATTTGCTTTCCATTCTCAGGATTTATGAGCTTGAATAAGAACAAATAAAAAGGCCTCTGTCAGATATTTTAGGGCTGCTCAAGGTAAGAATTAGGAGTGACTCTGTTCGGGGAAGGAGTCTCTAAATCCCTTCATGACAGTTATTTATGAGGGGCTGCAAATAGACTATTACCAGCTTTTTTGTGGAACTGAAGTGGAAAGGACCATGCATTTATCAATAGGTCAACCCTTTGGCTTTTAAAATACAGGGTTATTTCATGTCTGTAGGCCTATAATACATATTGCTACTATCTTTTATTCTGGCAAATGTAAGATTCAGAACCTAATACTTCACTGTCTTGCACTTTCTGACATCAGTTTATATATTTCAGATTTGGTAGCATTTTATGTTCCTTTGAATGAATGTCACCGACTCCACAAGGTGCAAGGCCATGGAAAACCAGGTCCATTATTCCTAGATATTACTGGGGAGATGGTTAGATCACAAACATAAAAATAAGGCTAAATGAAAGGTAAAGAAATGAGTTTGAAAGCAACAGGACCAATGCTTCAGAATTCTAATTACATGAATTATGTGAACTTAAAATAACACAATATAATGTATTTATTTTAAGCAAACTGAGCACTTTATGCATTTGCTTCAGAACCACTAACAAAGACCCCCTGGATAAGGATTTCTACTCACTGAGAAGAAAAGAACATATGTCTGTTACACAGAGAACTGTGTAGAAATGCTTTATAATACTAGATTAAGCTCACAAAAGCAAAAACAAAATCTGAATTGAAGGGCTCTGTATTGTAATATAGACATAAATTCAACACTGCACTTAAAAATAAGAATACAGAAATCCCTGAGAAGCAGATTTAATTTTTACCCTTTTAGTCTGTATAAAATTAAAATAATAAAAATGCAGTGCCCCAGAGATCCATGCTAATCTATTCAAGGACTCTTATTCAAGATGGCTTATTCATGTATTCTTCATCCATAGTTTGCTCTCATAGTTCCAGATTGCTCTCATAGTTCCTGAAGTCCAGTTGTACAAACAATACCCATTGACTTGAGTAAAAGTTGCATATGTGTAAAAAGGTAATAGGATTAAACTGGAAACAAACATTTATGTCATATATCTATGCCATACATGACAGATTCTGGCAACAAGTTTGTAATTTGTATGTTTCCAGTAGCAGCCAGTTTCAAACCTCTCATTTTCAATAAACAATAACTCCTTAATGCATATACAGTTTTTTCATGCAGACCTACCTATTTCCATTGAAAAAAGAAAGGTTTTCTTTCTCTTGGGGGGGGAGGGGGCAGAAAACATTTTTTAACAAAAAATGAACCCCACAAAATGGTCCCTGTTGTACCCCCAATTCCCCCCTCTCCCACCCCCTACACCCCTAAATTTTATCGACAGAAATACATTCTTAGTCAACTTAGTCTAGAATTCAAATATGCTTTCAGTGTGTTCTCTGACTCTGAGTCAAATGTTGTTGCCCTTGTAAAACTGTACTGAAGCGCATCTGAATTGCATGAGTATAAATGAAAGCAGAATTTAACACACTGTATGTTCAAGTAGTTCAAAATTAGGCCTGAATGTCTTGACCGTTGTTTTATCTTCTACTCATTCCATTGTGCCTAGGGGCTGATAAGAAGGTGGAAAAATAGTAAGTTACATCAATCTAGTATATTAAGTTAAAGAAATCAATACTTTAAAGTTATCTCTAATTATTTGCTAGTTAGTTATAACTAAAACAAGTTGTGGGAGGGCTGAAATCTGACAATATGGCAATCCTCTGGCTATTTTTAATGAAATAGCTATACTGCTAAATTTTGAATGTTTTGTGAATTAAGACACCTGGTCCATGTGACTAAGGGTGCATGAGGTAAATAAGCACTTCTTGGAACTTTTCCCAGCTGTGGGAAAAATTAGTGCCCTTGCACTGAAATTGTAGGCTTACATCTTGAATGTATAGAAACCTAAGCAGAATATGTACTCTGGTTAGGAGAATATTTGATAAGAAATGTACATCTGTCTGAGACCCTGTAGAAGAAACTCCTGCTGATGTGTTAAATAGAAAGAGGGAGCAGGAGGAAGTAAAACTGGAGACAGTAGGAAACCAGTAATTGGAACCTCTTCTGTGTATGTCAACAGTTTTAATCCAGTTCTAAGTCTGTTATAACCTAAAGTTCTTGTCTTATGGGACCTAATCCTATTTGAATTGCCACTGCAAGCAGTGGAACCAGGTGGATGAGAAATGTTAGTGGAATTTAGATACCTGTAGTAAAAAGAGTTTGTGTATTCTATAATTACAGCATTCGTCATCACAATGGGAAACATATGATCACAATTTGTACACGTAGCCCTATTGAAAAAAAATAATGAACTGGTACTCCCTGTACCAAAAGGAGATTCAGTCCTTCCATGAAGACTGAGCAGACAATGTAGGCTATCTAAAGAGCTCTAACTGTAGGCCTGCTCACTAATGCTGACATTCAGATGGCCATGGAAACTAAACTGAATGTTCTCAGGTTTCCTTTTCTTTTCAATTTCATAACCACCCATAATTCCCCACATTCTAAAAAGACAAAATAGTTCAATTTAAAAAAGAACAAAAATGTTTCCATATTTTTAAGAAAATCAGAGCCTTGTTTATATTATTCCTTCAGAAACCCAAGAAAGGTAAACAGCATCTTTAAGGAAGACAGTTCAATTAAGTACTTACTTTTAGAACAAAGTGAAGTATCCTTTCCCCCATCATATCATACCTTGATGGTCAAACATGGAGTATTTTGGTATTTTGTGCTCTCAGAGAATGCTCAACCTCTATCCTTTCAGCATGCAAAATTGAGCTGGTGGGCTCAATTCTCATTTACATGCACCATTCTGGCTCTGTGAAGAGGCCTCTGAGTGAAAAAAAAGTTACTTTTCCACCCATTTAAAACTGCTTTAAATTTCTGGGTAGCAGTAAAGTATCTTTAGTGTAAATAAGAGTCAGGGTCAGGAAGTTAAGCATGTTTTTAAACTCAGAGGTCTAGCACAGCGGTCCTAGGGACATGGGCCTAATTATGTCCTCTGTAAGGTTATGGTGAGAGCTGTGCAAAAATAATAAGGGATTTTTCCACATAGTTTTGCATGCAAACTCTGAAATTCTCAAAAAAACCCCCAAACAAACAAAACCCAAACCTGCCAATTTAATAAACAGTGGCATTTCATAATATATATGTTCCAATATAGTGAATTCTTTTTTTTCCTTTGCAACTGTGATCACGGTAAATATTTTTCTGTGGAAAAATACGTAAAGTTTCTATGTCTATACAGATTTTCATAATGGATTTTTTTTAAAACTCATTTAAAATTTTAACTTTCTGTTACTTTCTCTCTAGTATAGGACTTGAACAGGTGTCCATTTCTAGAGGAGAATGTTTCTAAGAAATGTTCATCGCTCAAAATCTTTCTAGGAGAGGGAGCAGTACAAGCGTTCAACCTGCAATAGACTCCTCTCCCACCCTCTCCCCCATCTTTTCCAGTCTAGGGTAGACTGGGATGATCCCAGTCTGGGGAAGATGTGGGGAGCATGTGCTGCTTCACTCTCTCCAGTCCCAAGGGGATTGAAGCATTGGGACAAAGGCCCCCATCTGAACCCCAGGTGAGTGCATGGGAAGTTTTGACAGCTGCTCCAGTTCTATCTCAGACTGATGTGGATGGGGACTGGAGCAGCAGAGTAAAGGCTTGCAGCCCTGCATCAGATGGGGGAGGGGGAGGAGTAAAGTAGTGGGGCAGTTCCTACCTGTTCCCCAAATTAGGGACACCCAATTCTGGGGAATGGGTTATGAGCTTCCTTCCATGGGAGGAATTGAGCTGCATAAAAATGCCCCTTCTCCCCACCTTTCTCAGATTGGAGTCCCTCCTTGTGCGGAAGGCACAGGGCGTGCTGCTGCTTGACTCCTCCAGGTCATGGGGGAGTCAAGCAGAAGTATGAACACCAGTTCGTTCTTGCAAAAGAGTTTCTCTCTCAGGAGAGAACACCTGGAAGACCTTTCTCCTAGACCTGGCATATTTCTTCTACTTGCACACTTCCAGTTTCTACTGGGAGAGCAACAATACTCTTGTAGGTGATCATAGACCCGTAAAAATAAAGAATATTAATATAAGGTGAAAGGGAGGTTGTAAGGCACAGATTTTAGTTTCCTATAATAACTGTTTCCATCGTTTCGTACATGGGGCCCACTGAATCTTTTAAAACTTTTTTATTGTCTTGTCATGTTATGGCATGTTTATTTTATTGTCATATATGACTTTTTTTATTGTCTTGTCATGTTATGACAAATGACACCCAAGAGAGAGTTCCTGAAAAGGCGCTATAGATAGTTTCCAGTATGACAGTTTTCATTTAGTTTTGCTTCTGGGTTTACAATAACATGTAACCTAGACTGCTGTGTTATATGTGTTCAAAACAGAGGTAAGCAATTTAAGATCAAAGGTGAAAATGTGGTACTTCAATATTGATGTAAAGTTGGCAAATGAGTAGAGTGTGAGTGACTGATTTGATGTCATATTTGGAAATAAAGTTGGAAGTATTTTTGTAATTTGAACTTGTGACATTTTATTTGTACGAGACTTGGAAAGGACTCACTGAAATGAATTTTTAGCATTACTCATTAAAATAGAATCGAGAATCATACCTACCTAATCAAAGCAATCACAATGTTATCATTATGACTATTACCTTCCCTTTTGCCTGACCCTCTTGTGACTCCAGTTCAGAGCAACACTTAAATGTATGAATGGGGCTACTACCTTGAATCAAAGTCTTAGTCTATAGGCTCAATCAAGGTCTCCTTGATTTCAGTTTCATTCAATTTGCATGTCTAAGGGTCTTGTTACATGGAAATTTGGGATGCATCCTGGAGTTCTTAAGTCCTGGATTGTCTCACATTAACACCTGAAACTGATTTAAATCTCTCAGTATGCAGCTCAAAGTTACATGACTCCCAGGCAAGATTCTCTCTGAACCATGCTGCTCAGTTTCTGTTGCACTAGGTGGTGCATTGGGAGGGGTGGGAGATGGCACTTGTGCCCCCACAGATTTCTCCACCAACAGCAGGATGCAGGGTATAGGGTTGCAGCCTGGTCAGAGCCAGGGCCAAACAGCTATGGGGGTGGCAGTGGCAGTGCAATTTCTGCACCAACAATGGGGTATGGGGCTGCAGCCCAGCTAAACCTAATGTCTGGTCGCAGCAGGGGCAGCAGCAGCAGTGTGGAGTTGTATTCCCCTACTGTCAGCACTCACACATTGCCTACGCACTAAGCTGGTGTAGTCATGTTAGGCTACACCTTAATGTAAACAGTTCACCTGCCTCTGCTTCCCTATTGGCCCAGACTGGGCCCACTGGTCCCCCTGCCCTCCTCAGCTCCCTAGAACCTGCCCCCCTCCCCACACTCCTCTGCCTGCCTACTTGCAGCCGCGCACTCTACCTGTTTGAGGGGACTAGGCAGGGAAGGGTTAAACAGCCTACGCAGCTGTTGCTGCTGTCTGGGCCAGAAGAGCAGCAGCCAGGCAGCAGTGATCAGGCAGGCATGTTAACTAGAGCTCTGTGAAGCTTTTATCTCTGATTTGATTTGGTGGATATTTGACCCAGTTTAGTGGCCAAATCTCCAAAGCCAAATTGAATCAGGAGACCCTTTAATCCCTCCCAATCAAATCAGAACTCTCTGAATTGATTTGGAGAGATTCAGAAAGATTCGATTATCCATATATAGACACAGCTTTAAATGTTTTTTCTACATACCTCAAGGTACCAGGCTGTTCATGAATGCTGCGCTGGTGGGACAAATGGAGCATCCCACAGAAATGCGGGCGGCTCCCCAGCGCACTCAGCACCAGACCCTGAAGTGGACCAGAAGCACTTCCACTCCACTTTTGGGTCTTCTGGGGAGGATGCTGGGGTGCCCTCCTGCACCCACCCTGGCTTGGCAGCTGGTGTCTCCTTTGTCTGAGGGGGCAACTGTGGTCCCCCTGCAGCTGATTGCCAAGCCTGAGGGGTGCAGGGGGGCCCCACATGCACTCTCTGGTGGACCTGGAAGTGGACCAGAAGTACTTCCGGTCCACTTCCAGATTCACTGCCGAGCATGCAGCTCCCGCCCCTCGCCCCCCGTGGGATGCTCCATCCACCCCAGCATCGCAGCATTCTTGAGCCATACCTGGTACTTTGAAGTACGTAGAAAAAAAACTTTTAAAGCTGTGTCTGTGGCTGAATTGCTGATTCAGCATTGAATCTTCAGTTTTGGATTTGTCCAGATCAAATCGAGGACAGTAATCCGACTCAACGAATCGAATCACTGTCCCCAATTCAAGCCAAATCCAAATCCAAGTCAAATATGTCCCATTCAC